TGTGAAACTACAATTGAAACACGTTGCCCGCTTGGCGGAGGCTATCAGCATACAGGTAAGAGCAGTATTTGGTTTTATGAAAATTATTTGAAGCAGTTAAATATGCTTTTTGTCTAAATATTGGGGACATCACCCAATAACACGCTCCATTGAGGGAGTTAGGTAGAACACCACTTTAGATTAAGGCTATGTCGCGAACATAGGATAGCAGATCTGCGGGCCTCATACCAGTTTGGATACTCCGGCTACAGGCCGTTGAGTGTGGGATATTGATTATTATAATGCCATAGAGCCCTATAGTCATAACCCGAGTATTCATCCAGTTTTTCATTCAGTTTTCTTATCACTTTTGGTTAATTATAACCTTATGGAGCTATACAGTTATATTGACTACAAATTGCATAATCAATACAGTATAATTGAGCAGGCAGTATTGATAATGAAGTATCATGATATGTGTGCTTACATTCCATATGTGAGTACATGTTTATTTTTCTACATATTGTTATGTGCTTATATGTTTCTTTATTCGTTGCGATATTCACATGAGTTTAATAAAAGTTGCCAGATTCATAAACAGCATAAAGAACATCAGGTAAGATCATGAAAGTATTTAATGGTATATATGCTTATAAGTTTATTTTAGTTAATCTTAAGGAGCCATACAGTTATGAGATGTTATTATCTACTTATATTGTGACTGACTAAAAGTGGCATAAAGTCATTACAACATAATTGAACGCAAGTAAGACAATGAAAATATAGCTGTTATGTATTCTTACATGTTTTATTGATTTCATTCATACAGCCTTAATGAACAGCAGTAGATTATTTGATTAGTTATTTCATGATATGTGTGATTAAAGTTTCATGTTGTAAAGGAGTTATGAGATAATTTTAGAATTCAATTATTTATGTTATTGAATTAGAAGTTTATTCTTCACTATAAAGTACATTTTATGTTTGAAATTTAATTGATTCTTAAGAATATCAATGATTTTTATGAAATGTTGTTAGTTTAGTTAAAGTTGTTCATCGCACTTTTTGTTAAGTATGTGAAATTATGAGACCACGAATTTTTATTACTCAGCGCGTCGATTTTTTTATCACGCGATAGGTTTGAGCAAAGATGTTGGTTGCTACTTTGAAGACTTGAAGAGTTACTATCAAAGCAGAAGTGACTAATTTTGGTCATAGTAGATTGAGAGTTTGTATAATCAGATTATGGCATGTATAATTATTACATTTGTTTAGAGCCTATGTTATTGCGAAATATTAAGTGGAAGCAGTGTAATTATTTTTGGCGTAAGTTTTTGGAGATAAGAATAATACTTATGAAATATTTTACTATAGTTGGTATGATTTAGGTCATTGAAGACTTGATATATATATAATGAATGCAAATTAATTGCTGGAGATAATAAAATGATATTGAGGGATTTATACAATTATGAAAAAGATATATTTTAAGTGTTATTGGTGTTCTTGATGATTAGTTGGAGATATTAGAAGTTTGGAAGTTTACTTGGAGTGTTTTTGTATTCATATTTAGCATACAGGATTGATATCATCATGACAGGACATAGTTCAACCAGCATTGTAGCGATTCTCGCTCGTTTCATTCGGGACAGTACGGTGGACCGGAAGGGATTGCTTACAATGGGGAGGTGTCGTTTGATGTCGAATGCCATGCTCTTTTGCAGAAAGCATCAAATGGGCCAGGTGTATTTCTCACCATTATCAGTGTATTCTCCACCATTATCTGTCCTGAAACACTTGAGTTTCTTGCCTGTCTGTCTCTCAACCAGGTTTAGAAGACTTCAATGTGTATACCCAGGTCTTCCTAGAATGGTCATTGATAAATATCATAAAATATCGATTTCCACCATATGACATTGTCAATGGTCCACATAAATCTGAATGAATCAGATTTAATACGTTCTTATTCTAGAAGGAAGGGTAATCTTAAAAGCTACTTTGTTTAGCTTTCCTGCCATACAATCAGGATACTTGTTTAGGTGAACTTCATCCAATCCAGATAGTACGTTCTTTCTTGCCAGAGTTTTCTTACTCATGTAGCATAGTCATTTATGCCATAATTCAACTGTACTGTCATTCTCCGCTGCACTCAAAGTGTCTTGAGAGAGTTTCGCATGCATCACGTACAGCTTTCAGTCTTTAGCTAACACAAATGAAACTTTTGTAAGCTTCCACTCACCATTTCTGAAGGTGCTATAGAAACCTTCATCATCAAATCTGCCAACCGAGATTTGGACGCATGCTCGAAAGCCCATTTCTCATAGTACTGTTCACCATCAACTTTGAGTTACTATTTTACTATTTATCACTAAGTCGATTCTGCAACGTCTTTTCAAGCGGACAGCACCGATGGACTCGTCGTAATTTTCTCTTCGTCGTGGTATATTTATTTTCAAAATATATCCACAGATCTAGTACTGCTATCTGACCAGCTGGATCTACCGAAACCTTCGGCTCTGATACCACTTGTTAGGCATCAGCTCTGATACTAGTTGTTGGGCATCAGCTCTGATACCACTGATATACGTTAGTTTGTTGAGGCATCTCCTCTTGATACAACTCGTTGGGCCCTTTGCAAACCAATTAAGAGGAAAATTAACGCACCTTCGGCTCTGATACCACTTGTTAGGCATCAGCTCTGATACTAGTTGTTGGGCATCAGCTCTGATACCACTCGTTGGGCCCTTGCAACCAATTAAGAGAAAATTAACGCAGCGGAAAAATAGAAATATGACACACAGATATTTACGCGGTTCACCCTTTAACTGTTTAGGGCTACATCCACGAGACCAACTCCGAATATTTCTTCCACTAAAAATAGTAGGCTTACAAAGAGAATAATATAAAAATAGTGGCACTCAAAAAGTGTTTCCCAAAAACACCTCATAATAACTTCCTCACTATTTTTCTCTCCCCTAGTTTTAGAAACACTTCCTAAACTAGATAACTCTCTCTCTACATTTTTTTTTCTTTCGGCTGTGTGCTTTGTTGAGGTGCATCTGCCTCTATTTATAGGCAGGTTATGAGAGAGCCGTATATAATCTCCATTTTGTCAAAAGAATTGCCAACTTTTATTTTTTTTTTAATTTTAAATAACACGTTTTTCTCTTCTTTTTTTTTTTCTTTTCAAACTGTGTGGGTCTCACTTGAGTGTTCACCAACACAACAGAAAGAAAATGGAGAATTAGAGAATAGCTCACCATTCTACTTAATTGGTGCTTATTTTATGTAACGAAAAGTACTATAAAAAAAATCGATTACAATATAATTTCTTTGTTTCATCTAATTAACATATTATGGTTTGACCCTTCAAATCTAATGTAATTAATTTTGATTTAAGTTAGAGTTTAGTCCCTCAAACTTTTTGAAATTTTAAATTATTTTTCTAAATTTTATTTGTATTTTTGAAAATATATTTACCCATTAAAACTTTTCAAAATTATAAAATTTCTCTTATATTTTATTTATTTTTCAAAAATATATATACTAACTCCTCCAGATTTAAAATTTAACTCTATTTCAATTTTTACTTTTTTAATATTCAACCTCTAATTTTGTCCCGCGGCTTAGCCACTATCAGTCAAAATTTTAAAATGAAAACTTTATTGGACTCCATCTCTTTGATTAAAAGTCAAAATTTTAACTGTTGGTGGATGGATCCGGTGCAAGCAGCAGCAGGACTTAGTGAAGACTGTAACGTGAAGTGAGATACACGTGCACAGCATAAATAAATCAATAAAAACTTCCCCTTTGGAAACAGATATTTTATTGGCACTTCAGCCAAGTGGAATCGATATTATCTTCCTAACGATATTTTAGAAAGTAGGGCCCAAAGTGTACAGATATTGCTTTTGTTTTCTTAAAAAAAAAAAAGAAAAAAAAATATATCTCAAGCTCTCTATCCATCTTCCGTTCTTTAAAAAAACAAAAAAAAAAGAAAAATATCTCAAGCTCTCTATCTATCTTCCAATCTTTAAAAATTCCATCATCCTCTTCAAAATCTTATCCTCCAGAACATTTGCATCAGATAAAGAGAAAAAGAAAAAGAAAATGGAGAGTGAAGCAGTGAGAAGAAGAATGAACATGATAGCTGCCCACTTTGTTCCTAATGAGGATATTTCTCCAACTCATCTCCTCCTTCCTATGGTATTTTTCTCTGTCAATTTCTTTTAAATTTATAAAATTTGTATTTTCATTCCAATTATGATATTTCCATGCATCTCGTATACAATTTCTTGACCATTCATAACTCTAATTAGTTAATAGAGTTCCCATAATTAGTTAACAGACACTTATGTGTATAAATTTCTTATGCTCAGAATTGCAGCAGCAGTTTAAATTCTGTTATCTCAAGATGTGATAACAGAATGTATTTTGCGCGCCAAAGTTCTGCTTCTCAAGGTTTCTTCATGAGACAGGCTTCCTCAACTACTGATCAACAAAGACAGGTGCTTGCTTTTTAAATTTCTTCTTCATCTTCAAGGTTTTAATTAATTTTTTATTTTTTTGGAATCTAATTTTAATTTGCTGGTGTTGTATGTATAATACTGAAGGCTGAAGCACCATTATTTTCTAGACAAACAACAATAAGAAATGAACCAAACTTGTCAAATGTTGAGCCATTTCAATCTCCTGTCAAAGATTGCAAACAACCTGCGTCAGAATCAAACTTTCCTTGCTTTGCAAGACCAACATGTATTGGTAGAAAGAATCAGTCTGGGGCAAAGAACGGTATGTCGTTTTATTAACCCTCCGATTTTGATGTATAGTCTTTTTCCTGACGGCCAATCCCATCTTCGTTGAAAAGCCAACCTTAAAAATACAAACATTGAATTAAACTTTTGTGTGATGTAGGAATAATTGAGTGGTCACCGAGAATGGATGTTGCAGAATCTGGACGAGGTTATGTTCTTACAGTAGAAATTCCAGGCGTTGACGTCAATGACATTAGAGTGGAGGTCAATCACCGAAGGTAATTGTTTTCTAATCTTTTATTTAAAACGGATGCAGATTTTTTTAACTGTAAAATCATAGAAATTAAATATAAAACCAAATTTAATTCAATATTTATATAATATAAAACAAACAACTAGCGGATCTACTTTATAAAATGACCCCTATTGTTTTTTATTTTTCTTTTAATTTCTTGGGGGGTACGGCCTCCTTCCTTAGATCCTAATGGAGCTCTGCCCTTGCATATATATATATATATATATTTGTATATTTTGACTCCAAAAGGAAATTTCTATTTTGCTCTGATTTTACCGAATATAATATATTTTTTTAATAATTAGTTTTTAAAATGGACCCAGGGGCGCTAATGAATATTTATTTTTGTTTTTCTCTTTGATAGCTTAAGAATAATGGGAAAACGTACAATCCAATGTTCAAATGATTCAATATCAGCTTACCACAAGAGAGAGATTCTACAAGGACCATATCAGGTTGAATGGCCATTTCCTTCCGATGCCAACAAGGACAAAGTCTCAGCTCAATTTTTGTAAGTCATACATTAATAATGCCTCATCTCATTTTAATTTTAATTGATTATAAATAAATTTATTTATAAATAATAAATTTTTAATTTTAATTTTATAAAATTTGAATTGGGAGAAGTAAAGTATTTCATAACAAACAAGAAATCATAAATTTTTCATGATATGAGGTGAAAAACTTAATAGCTTAAGGTCTTTAATAATACTAGTGTTTATAAAATTAGTTGATCAGATCAATTAGAATGAGCATCGATTTGACAAATAGTTCATCTATCCAAATATGGTTTTTGCTGTGCTGATTTAGATATGTTTTGGTGATGCAGAGATGGGTTTCTACAAATCATTATTCCTAAACTTTGAGAAGCACTAATTTTGGAGGCATTAAGTTGATTTATATATACTGCAGTGCCTGCATTGATATATATAATTATATTTTGTATCTATATATTTGTACTAAAGAATGTATATCACACATGTACCTACCATAAATTAATTATATCTTTTAATTATTTATGATAGAATAACTATAACTAGTGTTATTCGAGCTTTTTGCTAAAATATTTGGTGTTGCTCTTAAATTTTGAAATATAATTGAAAAGTTGTATGAGAATGTCAACAAACCACTTAACATAAACGCATCTGCAGAGAGGGACAAGGAGTCTTAACTGTGATTAAGTCGCGAGCCGAATTAAGCGGTCTCTGATAATAAGTTTCAAGATACCAGTGGTTAAAGAAAAAAAAAAAAAAACCACTTAACCTGCTTCTAAGTTTGAAGGTGAGAGTTCAAGAATACTTTTATATTTTTAATTCACCTTATACAAAACTCATCGGGAATAAAAATTGCAAAATCTTATCTATGGATTGTGATTCAGTTAACAACGTAAGTTGGACATGTAGAAAGAGCTCTCAGATTCAATCTCTCACTAAACGCATTTGCAACAAGGAGCAAAAAGTCTTAACTATAACTAAATTCCGAGCCGGATTAGATAGTCCCTAGTAATAGATGTTAGATTATTTTAATAATCTGTATGTGGCTCATGTGATTAAAGGGCTAGTTCTAATTAAGGTGGCCCAAGATGATGGTTATTGGGCTTAATGTTTGCTGATTCAGTTAACACGTAAGTTGGACATGTAGAAAGGAGCTCTTCAGATTCAAATCTCTCAACTAAATCGCATTTTGCAACAATGCGGAGCAACACGGTCTTAACTACATAACTAAATTCCGAGCCGGATTTAGATAGTCCCTAGTAATAGATGTTCAGATTATTTAATAATCTGTATGTGGCTCATAGTGACTTAAACGGGCTAGTTTCTATTAACGTGCTGGCCCAAGATGATGGTTATTGGGCCTTAATGGATAAGAGCCATGTTAGGGTTTTAATACCCTTCCTCTTGCCTCTTATAAAAGATAAGGACTCATCAAACAGGATTAGGTTACACAGAAACAAGTGAGAGCTGTGACGGCTCCCTTCAAACACGATCGGTGATTAGGTTTTGTTCTTGAAGAGAGCTCATGAAAAGAAATGACTCCCGCAGTTGTTGATATTCTCTGACCATTAGAGGAGCACTTACGGACAACAAAGGGCCAGATGTGAAAGAAAACTTTAGTCTGCTGTTACGGGTGAAGGACCGGAATCGTCCCCCAACCGACCGGTAACCCATTACAACATAGCATTGCCGTTTATGGATCACTCTACACCTTCCCGTTATTTATCTTCAAAACAAAAATTCTATGAACAATAGATCTGGGCCCTATTATTAAAGTTTATTCACATGTTGGTATTCAGAGCCAATGTTACCTGTCTAAGCATTTGTATAATAGCGTTTTGTTTTGGCTTAATTTAACGAAAATTAATTTCGTTATGGTGAAATTCGATATATATATGAGTATAAGCGAAGCCCAAAATTATAGAATTTGAAAACTGTTTGTTTTCTTTAGCTTTATTAAATTATTTAGTTATTATTTATAGAGAATGGGTATATAACATATTATTGGGTTTATGTCGTTAAAGTTTTGAGATATTAATTTAATCTCATAAAAAGCAGTTTGCATAAATAACTGTTTAATGAATGCGAAAACTTGTTAGTCTCAAAGTGCTTGGGGGTTTTTTGGGGCGGGGAATTTTTTTTTTTGGGGGGTTTTTTTTTTAGACATTTGATTATGCAGTTTTCAATTGTTCCATATTTGTTGTGATGCCGCTTATATGACATGAAAGTGAAAATTTGAACAATTGAAGCTCGTTGATTATAAATTTGTTAGGTTACCCAAAGGTAGACATTAATTATAAATCAATGGCATAATGGCATTAAAGAGACTTATCATTGTACGAATTAATATGAATGTATATCCAAAGATAACATGCATATTGTATGGAGCATTATTGAATAGTCGAATGGAATAAAAAAAATAACTGGATTACAGAAAGGAGCACGGGCGTGCTTCTCTCTAACTTGCATATAGGCTCGCAAGTTGCTCCACAATGAAAGTCTATTAAAGTATTTTTCTTCTAGGCATCATTATTGATTAAAGCTATGCATTTAAATATTATCCAAAGGTGAATCTAGATGCATAATTAAAGTTGTTATTTGTTTGAATCCATTTTATGTCTTCCAGAGAGAAGCACGGGGCATGCTGTAGTGAAGCACGGGCGTGCTTCTCTCTAACTTGCATAAAGGTTCGCAAGTTGCTACACATCAATGAAAGTCTGTTAAAGTATTTTCTTCTTGGCATCATTATTTGTTAAAGCTATGCATTTAAATATTACCCAAAGGTGAATCTAGATGCATCTGGACCTGGATCTGGCAATTAGTCTCTGAAAAAGCAGCAGCCATTACAGAGACCACACTGAAGCTGACAAGTCTCATTATGGAGGCTTGGAGCGATCTAACAGCGCGTTAACTTGAACTTAAATTGAGGATGGACAATGGTTTGAAAATGTTAAGCCATCAATGCCCAGAACAAAGATGCTAGAGAGTACATGCTGAAAAATTAGAAATACTCCCAATCGGACATAGCTGACAAGGCCATCGTAGGATCCTTGATGAGTGAATGCGACCAAGAAGTTTGATTGGTCACAAAATTCCATTCATTGATCATGTGACTGGGCATGCAGAATTTGGCAAGCAAAACTTGAAATCCATGGGAATGGATGTGAGTTGAATCCTTTTAGTTCAATTTATTATCAACTCACTTCCTCTGGGTTTTGGGTCAGTTCTAGTGTGAATTACAACAACAACACCCTTAAGGAAAAATGGAACATTCAGGAAATTGAGGCCATGTTGATACAAGAGGAAGGGAGATTAAAGAAATTGAAGGAACACTCCGTCAATATCGCATTTTATAATGGAGCTAGTAGCAGCAACAACAAATCAAGGAAGAAAGGCAAGAAAAGGAACAGTGCCCCAATGAAGGTTAATGAGGGCGAAATCCGTAAGGAATTGAAGTGCTACTTCGTAGGAAGAATGGTCACTTCAAGAAGGATTGTCCTAAAAGGAAGATTTGGTTTGAAAAGAAAGGTATACTTTATGTTTTAGTATGTTTTGAATCAAATCTTATTGTCTTATTGAAGTTGCCTAATAATACCTGGTGTTAGGATTACTGGTGCAAACTTTACTCAGATGTTCATATCTATACAGGGGGATTTTCTTTCGGATTCCAACCCATAAACGAAACTGAAAAAGGTTTTCTATTCATGGGAAACAAAATGAAGGCACGAATCAAAGGAATTGGGACTTAGTAGATTGATCCTGGACACTTGGTCGTTATCTGGATCTTGAAAAGTTGTCTCTGATTGTTCCTGTATTGTTTGGCCTAGAAATCTAGGTTTCTGTAGGAGGTTGGGATAATGTTTGTTCAGTTTTAAGATTTGTAAATGGTGTTTTTTCATTATACAAACTTAGTACTATTATGTGTCTTGGTACTTTGATTGATAGTTGTGTTCGTTTTAATCTTTGATGCTGAATTGTATTTTGAATCCCTGTTTAATGTGGAACACAATATAGGGTATTAAACATAGTGCACATTAATGAATGTTCTGCTTTCTTGTGCATCAAAGGTTAGGTCACATATCCAAAGAAAGGATTCTTGAGGTTAGTGGAAAGGGTGGAATCTTACCTTCAATTGGATTTCACTGACTTGGGACGTGTATAGATTACATTAAAGGTAAGCAAACTAAACACACATGAAAGAATCCAGCACCAAGAAGCAGTGAATTGCTTGAAACTTTACACACTGATATTGTTGCCCTTTGATGTTGCCTCTTGGGGTGCGTGAAAATATTTTATTACCTTTCTATCGATGATTTCTTCACGCTACGGGTTATGTATATTTACTGCATGAAAAGGGGATCAATTCAATGGATATCCTTGAGATATTCATTAATTTGAGGTAGAAAGGCAAGTTAAATAGAAGTTAAAGTGGTGAGATCTGATTAGAGTGGTAATTATTATTTGGTAAAATATAATGAAAATGGACAATGTCCAGGTCCATTTGCCAAAGTTCCTTGAAACGTCTGTGGCATTTGTGCGCAGTACACAATTGCCAGGTACCACCTGCAACAGAATGGGTGTAGCTGAAAGCGGATCGTTACTCTTATGGAAATGGTATAGAAAGTATGCTAAATAATTTGTATTGTACCTTTATCATTATTGGATGCATGCATAAAGACTGGCTGCATATTTACTTATAGGGTTCCTAGTAAGGCAGTCTTAAGGACCCCTTATTTGAACTGTGGACGAGAAGGAAAACCTAGGTCTGGAGGCATCTTCATGTTTGGGGTTGCCCAGCGGAAGTAGGTATAGAATCCACATGAAAGGGAAGCTTGATGTAGAACGGTTAGTGGATTTTTCATAGGATATCCTTGAAAACGTCAAAAAGGTACAGATTTTATTGTCCTTAACCATAGTTACGAGAAGTATGTTGAGTTCTGTAATGCTCGGTTTATTGAATGGCCAAATTAGTGGGAGCAGTGAACCACTGTAAATGAATGTGCAAGAGGATTCAGATTGAAAATTCCAACTCAGATGGATGTTTCCTAATGTTACTTTCTTCGGTTGTTGTTCCATTGTTGTATACGGTTTAACACATGGTTGAACAACCAAAACAACATTCCGAACCCACAAAATTGACCATATAAATGATGAACCCAGTAATTAATGAACAATTCACGAAATTGTCAAGTGGTTTTCACAAGAATAGCATTACGGAGGTCACAAAGGCCAAAGGAAGGCCAGCTATTTCCTTGAGCATGAATGTGAATTGAGCATCGATAAGGATTTAGTCTCTTTCCAGAAAGCCATGGAATGTGATAATTCTGAAAAGTGGTTTAATGCCATGAAGGAAGAAATACAATCAACGAGTGATAATCAAGTCTGGGATTTAGTCGAATTGCTTGAGGGGTCAAAACAAGTTGGTTGTAAATGGGTTTTTAAGACCAAACGGGACTCTAAGGACAACGTTGAAAGATATAAGGCCAGACTTGTTGCTAAAGGTTACACTCAGAAGGATGACATTGATTATAAAGAGA